AGTTTACCCCCATATAGAAAACAAAGACGTAGTCCTACGTCAAAATAGTAATCTCGGAAATGGTATGGGATTTGTCAATACTATTTTCGACAAGAGGGCAAATGAAACCGTTGAACGCTTAATTTTGGCCAAACTATACCCCGAAACATGATGCACCCTTATGCGAAATATAAACGTTCATGAACTAAGACGACCTCTTTCGGGTTCTCTGCGTAATATTATCTTCACTCTTCTGGCATCCGTGCTACGTGTCCAGCCCACCACGTAACCTAACATATTTCATAAGCTTTACATTTCCATTCCCGTATATCCTGGATAGGTACAACTCGTAACTTGCCATCGAGTTTTGTTCGAAGCCCATACGTTCGATGATCATCAAACAGTGTCTAATGCAATTATGCGCGAATTTCATAACATCCATATTAGCACTTACTTAAAATGATCTTTATTTCTTGTGTTTGTGTGGTTTACATTTATGAATTTTTTCAAGTGACACAGATGCGTCTTTTCAACTTTAGTTCATTTGAGATTTTAATTATTATTTACAGTTACTAGTCCTATCAGGCCTATTCTAAAGTATGACCACCTTGGTGGGATTGGTTTGATTTGAATTGGAAAAAGGAGACTACTTATAACTACTATTTACAACTACAACTAACCTACAACTACTATATGCACCTAACCTACTATATACAAGTTGCTTATCAAAGCATGTTCTGATAAATTACATTTTTCTGCAAATTTAGTCTTAATTTCGTTAATTCTTGAATCTATTTTGGCAATTCCTGCCTCTTCGTGTAAATTTGTTATTCTAGTGTCGAAAGGACGATCAAGAACCATCCTCAGCACTCTATTTTGTGCGACCTGAATTTTGTTCCTGTGAGTCTGTGCACATGATTCCCACACCGGAGCTGCGTAGAGGATCGCAGGTGCTATGATTTGTTTGTAGACGGCCAGTTTGTTTACCCTTGAGAGGCGAGATCTGCGGCAAATCAGCGGATACAGACACCTAACCAAGGCAGAACACTTGACTACTGTTTTCTCTACATGAGAACGGAAGAGGAGCTTTTCATCAAACAACATCCCGAGATAGGTTACTTCGGCGGACCACTCAACCCTTGTGCCATCCATGATTACAGTACAAGATGGAGCCGGTTTCAGTTTGGGCGATTGCCGATGGAGGAACATGATCGCTTGTGTTTTGGAGGCATTGATTTTGATTTTCCACATGGTGGCATAATCAGCAAAGGCGTTAAGGCATCGTTGAAGTTTGTTCGTTATTTCGCGAGGCATCCTTCCTTTGACGGCTATTGCGGTATCATCTGCGAACAGGAAAAACACGCAACCGTCACCGAGGGGAGGAATGTCGGAAGTGTAAATGCTGTAAAGCAAGGGGCCCAGCAGACTGCCTTGCGGGACTCCTGCTGGGATGGAAAACGTGTCTGAAAGACAACCATTCAACGATACCTTAAACGACCTTTGCTGAAGGTAGTTTCGGGTGATTTTAACCAGATGTAATGGGAAGTTGAAGTTACAAAGCTTGTACACAAGTCCGTCATGCCAAACATTGTCAAACGCCTTTTCAACGTCTAACAAGGCCATGGCTGTGGACTTGGATACAGCTTTGTTACTTCGGATGTTATTCATCACCCGTACTAGCTGATGATTGGTAGAGTGCCCCTTTCTGAATCCAAACTGTTCCGGAAGGAGAATGTTGCTTTCCTCCACAAACTTGAGCAAACGATTGAGAATGAGTTTCTCGAACAATTTGCTCAGCGCTGAAAGGAGGCTGATTGGTCTGTAGCTTGAAGACAATGTTGGATCCTTACCGGGTTTGCGGATTGGTATGATTTTTGCTACTTTCCAGATGTTTGGAAAGTAGTGCAGTTCCAAACATCTGTTGAAGATAGCGGTTAGAAGAGACTGCACTTTCATGCTGAGTCTCTTCAAGATCAAGTTGAATATGCCGTCAAACCCGGGGGCCTTCATGTTCTTGGTGCATTTCAGCGCTGAGCAAATTTGTTGTACTGTAATCATATCCACCGGAGGCACGACACAAGGGGAGGCATCTAGGTTTTGAACGCATTGCGCAACCTGATCTTCGAGCGGACTTTGGATAGACGAGCCAAGCAAATGCGATGAAGCGACATGCTCGCCGATCGCATTTGCTTTCTCCTGTGGGGTGATTAAAAGCCGATCGTCATCATTTTCGACTCTGAGAGGTGGAACGGGTTTGGGATGAGTTTTCAGCACCTTGGCTACCTTCCAGAATGGACGGGAGCGGTCATCCAGATTCTGGACAACACGCCCGAAACTTTCATTTCGGAGTGAGTCCATTCTGGAAGCAATCTGCCTGTTCAGATCGGCCATTTCACGTTTCCTCGCTAGATCTCCAGTCCTCTGAAACTGGCGTCTACGCACATTTCTCAAGCGAATCAGTAATTGGGTGTGGGAATCAATGGAAACAAACTTACCCCTCACAGGAACTTGTCGAACACACGTCTCGTCAGCCACAGATATGGCCTGGTGGAGCCCTTCCAGTGCCCGGTCGATGTCCTCTACGGTGTCAAGTGGCGGATTTTCATCGATGTTTCTGTCGACCACATGCCCAAACTGCACCCAGTTGACATGATGGTAGTCTTTGCGCAGGCTTTGAGCAGGTTCCACGTGGGTGCCGACTTCAGCCACCACCGGTTGATGGTCGGAACTGAGATCGTTGATCGCCATCGGTTTGGATAGTCCAATGTTCGATAGAAAAAAGTCCAACGTGGAAGGGTTTCCCGCCGGAGAGATGAATGTCGGTTCATCAGGGAATTTCACTGTATACAGCCCATGCTGCGAGTGGTCGAAGAGCAGACGTCCGTTCTGATTCCGCTGATAGTTCCGCCATGCTTCGTGGCGGGCATTTAAATCGCCCCCAATGACGAATCGTGAGCTCGTGCGAGTGATGGTGGTCAGATCATGCTTAAATTGGATGCCTAATCCATTACTGGCAGCACACTGACGAGGGCAGTATACTGCGACGAACCGGACGTTTCCGGTTGGTGATTCCACCTCGACACTAAGGGCCTCGATGATAGAAGTGCGAATATGCGGCAGCGTGCAGAACTTGATTCCTTTCTTGATGATGATCGCAACACCACCCCCCCTGGAGTCAATACGATCAAGCCGGATAATGTGGTGATCAGGCAACCAAAAGCTGTCACCGGATTTAAGATGGGTCTCTGTTAGGAGGCCCACGTCGATACTATGCTTGCGGAGGAAGTCAGCAAGCTCGAGTCTTTTTGCTCTTACAGAGCATGCGTTCCATGTGACGACAGTTATCGGTTTAGACACCATACTGAATAATAAACTTACCGAGCACTTGGATCTGTTCGGGCTTGCTGCGGCACTGGCGAAGAGCGCTGGTCATGTCGACGAAAATCTTCATCAGCTCATCCGCAGAGAAGAGATCGGGATTGGCGTTTTGTGCTGGTGGTTGTCTCCAGAATCCAGGGGGGGATGGAGAGCTTTGTCCAGCTGAGGCACCAGACGTTTCTTGGCGGGGGCCGGATTGCACCCGTGGATTTGCTTGACCGTGTTGCGTAGCAGGAAGAGGCGGGAAATCCTCCAGTCTGAATGCCGGCGTATTTTCCTTCTTTCGTCCTGGTTGATTTCTTGTGGACGCCTGCTTTCGGATCCGTTTGAAATCTTCGCGTTTGGGGCACTGTTTGTCGGACCCTTGATGAGCGCCATTACAGTTGGCGCATTTGGCCGCTTCCGACTCGTCGACAACACACTCGGAGGAGATATGGTTTTGGGCGCATTTTCCACAGCGCGGCTTGACGAAGCAGTTTCGGGTGCCGTGCCCGAAATTCAGGCAACGTTGACACTGGGTGACGTCGTGACGGCCGCCACGGTATGGCTCCCATCGGACAATGATGGAATTGATGGAGCGGATAGCCTTCAACGCATTGAGCGTCACCGTTCCCTTCTGGAAATGCACCAGGAAAAGACAATCTGGATACCTTTTGACGTTCTTGTCCCTCCTTGTCATCCGGAAGACGGCAGTTGGGGCCAGCTTGTAGCGGTTCTTGATTTCCGCTTCAATCAGCTTCGGGTCAAAATTCGGTAGACCCCTGATGACGACCTTGAATGGTTTCTCGCCGGGAATGTCGTGGGTGAAAAATTCCACCTTGGTAGTCCTCAGGTGGGCAACGACCAAGTCATACTCCGCTTTCGTGCGGAGCATAACCTTGGTGCCGACTCTGCCCAACTTGAATTCGGCTTTAACGCCCAGCGAAGCCAGATCTGCGATGAGATCGTTAAGATGGGCATTTTTTACTACCAACGGAGGTAGCTTTACTTTTGCCGTGCTTGTGTCGGCAACGTCACCGAAATCTCCGACATCACTACCGTTTGTCGCAGTAGCATCGCCGCGAGAAATCGTGCAATCGGACTGGCTCCGATTCTTCTTCCTCTTCTTGCTGCGCTTTCCTTTTGCAGCTGGCTGGGTATGCTCATCGATGGGAAGAACAGCAAACCTATTCGATGTGGACACACCGGAGCTTCCTTCACCGGCGTCCTGGTCCTTCACCGGGCTTCGCGAGCGATGCTTCCCCATTTCGGGGCACACACACACGCGCGACAAATCACGTACGAAAGAGCGCGAACACTATCTCAAAAAATATCTTTCCGAACAACTCACGAGAGCGAGCTTAAACCGAACTCTGATGATCCATATTAGCAACTGCAATTCGTCTCTTTAACTCGCGGGTAACTTATTTCACTAGTGTTCCAAGACACGCACTTCCACTACCTACCACAAACTATCATACCCGGCTATCATAAAAGCCGCGAATTGCTCTACGGTAATTTCCGATGATAATCGATGATGATTATGCTTATAATTATTCATGAGTAATTCTCTTGAGTCCGCAAAGTAATGACATCCGAAGAACAAGGCTTTCTCAATTCCTACTTCACAATAATTACCCGTGCTAAATTTAACTCTCGAACATAGAATAGAATAAATAATGTCTCTTTAATACTCAATTCATCTTTCCTAATCCGAACAACACCGTCTGTAACATCGATCACTACTTGTGGGAATCCATCGATTATTGATTGGCTTCCTTGCTCTCTTCCTCTAAATCTAAAGCACCAACAATTGACTCCCTTCCGGGTACCACCGACGGCCTAGAAGCCCCACCTGCATCACCACTGCCACCGCTATCGTTTTGCGTTACACTGTCCGTCTCCGGTACAATCAACGTCGTAAATCTACCTACACCAGCTGACCCCGCAGCTGAGCCCCCTTCCCTAGCACCAATTGAATTGGCATTGATATTCTGCCTAATTTGATTCTTGTTGTACCGATTGGCGGAATCTCTTCCACAGGAAGAATCCACCGGTGGCGTAACGAGCTCCGTAGTCGAACACGAAGGCCGCACAATGTCACTGGCCCGTCGGGCAATGTCGTTCACTTGCACCTGGTGGTAATCGGTTTTACCGTGGAAACTCTTCGTCACCCTGGTGATTCGCGGCGGTTCGATGAACCCTTCCCGTATCACCAGCGCTCCCGGCGTTGTTGGGTTGTTGTTCAAACGAGCCGACATGGTTTTACTCGTTTTGGAACATTTCTCCTGTTCCATCTCCAGCTTGCTGGCAAGGTTTTTCTCTATGTTGGGAATGTCTTTCTGCAGTTCATCGAACGACATGTGTAAGCGACCGCCGGATGACGATAGGTGGTCACCGCTGCTGCAGGATGTCGCTCGCTTGAGTGCCATCGAAGCTCGTTCGCCGAATTTCTCCACCTCGTGCACCAGATTCTTCGGTTCGGTTCGCGAATCCTTCTCATATAAGCTGATCTGCTTCTGGATGCGATTGGTGCGAAAGCGGTTGTCGATCTTGGGAGTTGCTCCACCGGTGCATGATCCCGTCACGGCAATTGAAGGTGCTGAAGTCGACGGAGGAGGCAAATCACTGCGCAGGTTGGACAGTTCGTAACGGACGTTTTTGATATCGAAAAGCAGTTCCTTTTGCAGCTGTTTGCCACTGCTGGTGCAGCCCGCCGCAAGGTTAGGATTTTGAGTTGCGAACGAATCCTCACCTATGCTGGCGATTGCCAGATCCCCGGTGCTCAAGCACGTGTCCGTCGATATCGTGGCGTCTTCGTCGTCTTCTTCGGCGGTCTGCGAAAGAAGCACGGATATCAGTTAGGTGAGAGTCATTGGGAGCGATCGATAAGTGTTATACCTACCAGATCGTTATTGGTGTTGGTGGATCCCTTCGTGGCGTCATTGGTGTTGAACTCCCAATCCGAGCAGGTACTGATGGGAGTAAGATCGCCACTGATGTCCAGAGTTGCATCCTTGCTGATCGGGGGTATCTTGGCCGGGCTTTCCAGATTGATACTGGCTGCCAATTGATCGTAGTTGAAATGCGACCCCAGCACGTTCAAATCGTTGTCGATTACGGGGAAGATCTGCGGCAACTCGTCGCGGTTTCCTCCGCCGCCCGCAGCCAGTGCGATGCTTCTAAGGTATAGAGAATTTGAATAGGTCGTAGGATCGGAAGCTGGGCGCTTTCTTACCCATCATTGCTGGTGATGCTGGCCGACATATCGCTGCTGGGACATCCACGGGAGAACATGTCACTGTAGTTGGGCGACGAAGGGCCACCACTCGACATGGCGCTGATGCTGCTGGTCATACTGGAATGACCACTCCAGCCTTTGCGTCGGGTTTGTGGAAAGTGGAGTACGTATTAGGACAAAGCAACGATGAATGGGGAACACGAACAACCACCGTACAAGTACAAACAGTATAATCTAAGAGGTTGTCTTATTTATCGAAGAAGACTCTTTGTCACGTCACTTCGAGAGCAAGAATCTTCTGCTACGAGTGATTCAAAAACAAATGTTTTTAGTGCAGAACAAATTCATATCAACGGAAGAAAGTGATGAAGAATATCCACTGAATTTGGAATCAAAGTATTAATTATAATTCTATAACAAAAATAATACGAACTCAGCAGGGAAAATCTTCAAATTCAACAGCAAAAATAACAAAAACACATGATCCTCAAAAAAACATCCATTATGATTTAATCGCTTCTACAACAAATTGAAAGAAATTATAAGCCTCTATAGAACGTAATACAGAATGTGTATTTGAGCTTGTGACGTCCCTCTATAGATACGAAAATATGCATCACTATCACAATGAGCCCCAGTTAGAACCTAGGATACATCAGTCGCTCGGAAACAAAAACGGATTAATTCTCCAGTGCCCTACGAGTATCTCCGAAGCACGCAAATAGGAACATGAAACAATATGTATTTTTCGCAAATGAAAAACCACCTACTTATAAAACTGAATCGATTTTAAGGCTTACACAAAATAGAAGCTGGGATAGTGTCAAGGTCACTTACTCGCCTGCGGCAGGGCCGCAGAGTCCGGAATGGCGGCCGGACTTGGCACCGGGGTGGGCAGCGGCGTCGACGGGTACTTGGGCGGTGACGAGGCGGGCGTCTTGAACAGCGGCCCGGTCGTCATTTTCTCCAGGAAGTTGTCCAACTGGCGCAGCGACAGGGCATTGTGCAGGGTTTCCAGCGGTCGAATCGGAGGCACCCCACCGAATCCTTCAAGTGCTTAAACCGAACACAACAGAACAGGTTGGAGAGATGGTGTGATGGTGATGGCGGTGTTATGTTTTTTTTTGACAACGGATTTTTTTTTTGCAAATTGGCAATGAAACGGGATGCGCGGATGGCGAGAGGATGTTTTGCAAAGGGGTTTATCCAGAAGCGGATTTTAATTCAGGGGGGCGGGGGAGGAGCAAGAAAGGAAATCAAAAACTTCGTCAATAATGGTTAACTTAGAAAGTTGGCAGCGTTAAAATAAATTAAATTAAGTAAAAGCTGGCAGAGCAGAGGGCTGTTGAATCGAACTACGCTGTCGCTGGGATGGGTCATCACTGGGAAGTGGACGTTTGGACGCTTTTACCATAGGCGAACCCCTTGTACGATGCCCTTTCACGATATTTAAAAATTGCAGTTGAGATTCTTATAAATTATAGCGTGACTTTACTGCTCTGCCGGTGGACGTATAATTGACCCATCAGCTATGAAGTTTCATATACACATGGGACAATTATGCTTCCACCGGCAGTGTTGGTGGACGTATAATTTTTCTATGTGCATAAGCAAAGTTCCTTCGGCAACGATTACGTTGAAACTTCGTCCAAATTCATACATCATATTTCTCGATTACTTGTTCAAAGGGACGTATCTGCTCTTAGCACTCCCAGGCTAACTAACGACAGCATCTTGTTTGGGAAACATTACGCTTTCTGATGGTGGTGTAAGTGCTAAGAATTTCGACAAATTGACGTTTGAATCGTTGTTTACAAAAACAGATACGTCCATTTGAAGAAGTAATCGAGATTTTCGTTTTTACGCTTCTTTCAATGCTCAAATTAGTGCAAAAGCGGTCGTAAGTACACGGCTTACTATACACGGAGATGAAAAACAACCCAAAATTAAGTACTTTTCCCTCAATTCCGGGGTTCAGCCCAATAACCCAAATTTGAGTAAATCGCATAAAGTAGTTTCCATTTAACAACAGCAAAAAAATTACCTACTCTTAAGTATATTGTACCCAAAATTAAGTTTAATTCACGTAAATTTGAGAATATGCAATTTACTCAAAAGTAACTTATTGGGCTGAACTAGAGTCGGTGTATAATGAGTCACGCCAAGAGTGAAGCCAAGTCTACCTATTGAACTGTCAAATCGGCTACCTATCGTGCAAAGTAAATAAACATTACGATGCTATGAAAGGTCCACTAAAGGTATTGCAATGAAATATAAAATAAAATTGAAGAAATCATCATAAACACGCAGCGAGCATTAAATGGTCATGGGATACGTTTGGTTTTGATCAGTAATGAGAATTTCTTCTATTTTTTTGATAAGATAATTTAACAAAATCACTGATATTATGATTCACTACAGCCGTTATTTTTGGTTCTCGCTAGAAGTCATTTAAAGTTGATGTAGAAGTCCTCTGTTGCCAAGTGAAAAGAAAGGGAATCCTTCGGAAACCGTGATGCGAGTTCAACTGTTTTTCTCTTGGCGTGACTCATTATACACCGACTCTAGGCTGAACTATATCGTTGGGTCGAATCTCTCGTTCCTTTTTTGACAACAATAACGAGTGCAAGTGAGAGGCTGAAGTCAATATTAAGTAAAAAGAACTCAAATTTTGGGTAGTATTTTTTCTCCGTGTATACTACTTCCTATGCTTGAAGCCACTCATAGTTGGTTGCAGTATTGGCGTTGACGGCGACTCTGTAGCTCTTTACTCCTATGAGAAAATCCATAAGCAAACGTCAGACTGTGCGTGAAACATGGCGGACTTTGTACTATCCTTTCACTCCACCGAAAATTCCCATAAGAAACTGTCTATATTTGCTGAAAGAGCAAATTTTTCGACGGTGCCGTCAACGCCAATGGGCATTCAGAGAAGTCGTCTACACGGCCAATGAGAACGACCCAAATATGAGTTTAGTTTACCCATAATCGCCAAAAGTGCAGGAACTCAGCGATGAGTAAATTTGCCTCATGTTTTTCTGCGGAAAATCTGCCGGAAAATAAGGAAAATTGACAAAGAATTTACTCAGTCTAGGAGTAGTACTAATAGACTGAGTGAATCCAATCTTTATTTTTCTCACATTCGGGAATTTTTTTTTCCTGGACAAACCTGAAAACCAGAAAAAACCTGGAAAAACGTGAGGCAAATTTACTCATCGCTAAGTTTCTGCACTTTATGTGATTAATGAGTAAACTAAACTTAAATGTGGGCCGTTCTCATTGGCCGTGTATATCATGTACACTGCAAATAAAATTCACGTAATATTCACCTGAAAAGGTACGTAGATATTTTCCATCGAACTTTTCAGGTGAATATTACGTGTTTTGGAATATTTTTTTTTTCAAATGTGTCATATGAAAATGAAGTGATTTTCACGTAAATTTTATCGGACGTACCGATGGACGTCAAATTGGCTTCACTTAAAAGTTACGTGATTTTCCAGTACATTTCACTGGATTTTGCAGTAATGTTTATGTGAATTTATGGTAGATTTCTTTGGTTAATTTCTTTATTAAATGTATCTTAAATAATAATCAGGCCCATTCTGCGTCGCGAGTGAGGTGAGGTGACTCGCTGTCACTAGTGAAGTCAGTTTATGTGAGGTGATTCTTTAGTTGATGTACTCGGAGAGCCACCTCACATGAGGTGACTATTGTTACCTCACCTCACTCGCGGCACAGAATAGGCCTCAATGCATTCTAGTAAAATGTTCTTTTTGACCAAAGGCAAGCCATAATTGTTCTTCACGTAGATTTGAATAAAAGTTAACTTCATTAGTTGGATTTTTGCTTCATTTAATTAGCGTAATAAGCTTAGTTTATTTCTTAGTTACTACAATCTGTATCAAACCTATTCTTAATTCTATACATATAAAGACCGTTAATATGGTGTACGATGGCTCCGGGAACGACTTCTAGGGTGTCACAAAGAGATTCACTTCCGGGAATACTCTCAAGGCTTGGAATTTTGGGTAATATTATTGTTGCTCTATGTGCCTCCGTTGCTGACCAAGGCACTTATAATCGCTGCTTTCTGTATAAAAAACGGAAATCTGCAATGGGTTATTTATTGGTTTATTGTAAAATCATAAAATTTAGACACTTACATTTCTGTTTCGCCTGGAAATGATAAGCTAGAAGAGGACATCATAATTCCAATTTACGTCCGCTTGTTGTAAGCACTCCTGTAGGTCTTTGTATGAGCTTGTGAGGAGCTCAAATAATCCGATTCCACACTCTACAATTCATAGTACAATGAATTACAGAATATTCAATTATAAATTAATTACACTTACGCTCAAAAACTTCAAAAATCACCTAACAACAACGAACTCACACTTCTTTCTGTCGTCATTTTGAACGATAATTTTCACACCAAGAGATCACGTACAATTTACGTGAATTTCACTTAACATTCATCAGTATGACACTTGACTTCGACCAGTCAATCTAATGGAATTTATTACCATGTCATTGAATTTCATATGCATTAGGTGCTTCTTATTGGATTGCTATTTTTGAGAAGTTACCTGAATTTTCAGGTGAAATTTACGTTCCTTATTGGTTCAGTGTATGTATGATTTTCCTAAAAGTTCTAAATTGTCTACAGCCAGTACACAGTAGAGAGGGTCTAGTATAAGAGAGGAGCGAATTCAAAACAAACTGCCTTGGCAACCTATGCCTAGGTGATTTCTAATAACACTGGCAATGCAATCAAGATAGGCGCTGCTCGATTGGCTCTGGCTTTGACAGTTCGTGTGGCTCAAAGCCTAAGAGAAGAGGTGACAATACGGGGACGAACCACTTTTCTGTCAAAGATATAGAGCTTTTTGACGTTTAATCGGCGCACACTACTGCACCATTTAAATCGAACGAGTGCGAGCAAGAGGGAAACAGATTAGTGGGAAAACAAACCGTTCATTCATCGACGATTAAACGTCAAAAAGGTCTATAGATAGAGATAGATAAAGATAGAGATATACACCCCTATTCTGTATTTCGTTTCGAACGAAATTCTCATACAAAAAAATATTTTTTTGTATGAGAATTTCGTTCGAAACGAAATACAGAATAGGGGTGATAAATAAAAGAGGAAGAAGCCAATTGTCACATCTTCTTTTTAGCTCAACACCAGCCAATCCGCCCCTCTCTTATACTAGATCCTCTCTAGTACACAGTAATGGGAATTTTGCAGGAATAGCAGACTTTTTGTGTTCTTGGTGAAGTTCGTGTGCTTATTTTTTTTCCTTCATAGCGGTAAGCTCCATCGAGGATATGGAAACCGGTGGAAACTAACGATTTTAAATTGGCTCATCGATTAGCTTGGGACCGAAGATAGTACCAGAGCTGAGCCAAAAAGTTGAGCACGTTTTTTCGGGACCTACTAGCACACGAGTGGAACTTCGAATCAGAAAGTGGCTTCACTTGTCATTTGCGAACACTAGCGCACCTAGCCGTAGAAGGCATCTTCTGCCTGCAGTTAAGATAGGCAGCATGCTATGATAGTGTGAGTGCACATAGAAAGCCTGTGTGGAACGCTGCCACAACACATTGCTTAGAGCAACCGTAACGGTCGTTGTCATTTGCGCGACTATTTTAACAGCGCACAGCGCTTTAATTTTAGTTTAGTCACTCTTCTCCACACCGGTCGCTGCTATCGTGGTTATCAATTTACTCACCTTTGTCCGTACCGGTAGTGAGCATTTTGACATTTCTACGAATAGCAACCTTTCTCCCACGCTGCTAAATTTGGTAGCGCGCTTCTCACCGAGAAGCCGACTGCTATTTTAGTTACTCGTATGGCAACCCCCGATACGGTAGCTGCGCTATGATGAGGGCTGCTAAAATGAGTTTAGCAGCGTACCATTACGGTTGCTCTTATTGAGCAGACAAACGAACCACTTTTTGATTCATCGATTTGTTTGCACTTCCCCTTCTGTTCTGTGCTACACGTCTTAGAGTTTCCTCTATATGGTAATATGGTAAAATCGTTAGTT